CGGCATGCAACCCGATCCACAATTATCACTGTTGCGGCGTGCAACCCGATCCACAATGTCTACCTCTCAACCTTGCCCAAGCAACAGTCACAAATAAAGGGCAGGGAGTGAACAAGTATTTGGAAGGAAATCCCAACAAGTGTACACAAACAACCAATAATGACCATGCAAGAGTAAATCGTTATTTCTCTTTTTCTTTCATTTTCATATCCTAGTTCTCATTATCACACGTGACAAGCTCCAAGGCATTTCTCATCTCATATACTCTCACCATTTATGTTTCAGACCAAACCAATGCTCCACGAAGTTTCACAATCACAATATCCTTTACAAGGCGTTTACAACGCATAGAAACCATCAATTAAGCATGGAAGGCATAACAATATCCAAACAGTCCACATACAAGGACTCACGGTCATGCTAGACACCGATGTATAGGAACTCGTCACCATGCCTATACATCGTACTCGATCATTTAGCAATTAGCAAACAAGACTCGACTCCTATTCCCTCAAGCTAGGGTTAAACCAAACACTTACCTCAACTTCCACGGCCAATACAATCCTCCACAATCGCTTTCCCTCTCGAATTCGGCTCCAACTCAACCAAATCTATGCAATAAGGACTTCATGTTATCAATATGTGCTAAACAAATCAAACCCAATGACTAATTATAGCTTTTTCATCAATTTACCCCAAAAGGTCAAAAATGCCCCCGGGCCCACATGGTCAAAACCCGAGGTTCGAACCAAAACCCGTTTACCCATTCCCCCATGAACTCAAATATGTAAGTTATTTTGGAATCGGACCTCGAATTGAGGTCCAAAACCCCCAATTTTAGAAACCTAGGTTCTACCCTAAATTCCCAATTTCCCCATTAAAATCTTTGTTTTGAAGTTGAAATTATGTTTAAGGATGTTAAGGAGTTTAGAAAATCAGTTAGAAATCACTTACCAATCGTTTTGAAGAAGTGGAATCGTTTGGAAAATCGCCTCTTATGTTTTGGGTTTTGAAAAAGTGAAAAAATGACTGAAAATCCCGACTTTATATACTGTGCTGAACACCCGGCGCGGACTGCACAAAAATGCCCCGCGGCCGCGCCGAGGAAGAGTGGGAAAACCACTCTCTGAACCTACCCAGCGCGGACCGCACTGATTTGGCACGCGGCCGCGCTGAGGGAATGGACCAAACCCCTCTCTGAATCTCCCAGCGCGGACCGCACAGAAATGCACCGCGGCCGCACGGCTTCCAGCGCGGACCGCGCGGAAATGACCGCGGCCGCGCTGGGGGCCTACAACCATCTGATATTTCTAGCCTAAGACCTCCCGGGACCTACTCAAACTCACCCGAGCCCTCGGGGCTCCAAACCGAACATACATATAAACTCAAAAACATCCTACGGACACATCCGTGCGATCAAATCGCCCAAACAACATCATAATCATCAAATTAGGCCTCAAGACCCAGGATTTCCTTTCAATTTTCATAAAACATCAAGTTTAGAGTTTGTAGTCCAAAATACGTCAAACGACGTCCAAATCTAACCAACTTTACAGCAATTGCTTAAATCATATTTAAGACTTGTGCCGGGCATCGGAACGAAAATACGAGCCCAACAGCACAGTCTTCTAAACAAATAACACTTTCAAATTCTTTAATTATTTTCATAAAACAATTTCACACAACAATTCATTTCTCGGACTTGGGACCTCGAAATTTGATTCCGGGCACACACCCAAGTCCCAAAATTTCCTACGGACCCTCCGGGACTGTCGAATCACGAGTCCGGGTCCGTTTGCCCAAAACGTTGACCAAAGTCAAACTCAATCAATTTAAAACATCAAATTTATTATTTTTCTCACAAATTCACATTTAAACTTTCTGGTTACGCGCCCGGACTGCGCACACAAGTCGAGGCAACCCCCAAGTGAGGTTTTCACGGCCTCAGAAATACAGAGTGAGTAGGAATACAGGTGATGACCCTTTGGGTCGTCACAATGCTAAAATTATAATGAGTCTATCTACAACCAAGCATGTGCTTTTCTCAATATTTTAAATTTCTACCCCTGAAAATAAAGAATATATTTCAAATTCATTAGAAAATATTATTTTATGTTTAAATTTTGCAATGATGATAAATAAAATATAGAATCAAACAATTTTCAATGTTGGATTGTATTTACCGTACTGTGTTTTTGTCACGATCCAAAATCCACTAAGGGTTGTGATGGCGTCGGACACCGCTGTCAAGCAAGCCAACCAAAAATACTTAATTAAATTCTCATTTTAACAATTTTGAAAACTAAGATTTTCCTTCAATTTTTCTGGTAAAAGACAATCTTTACAATGTAAATAAAAGGATGTTTGGAAATAAATACAAGATACCCAATAATCATCCCAGAACCCGGTGTCACAAGTGCATGAGCTATTCTAGGAAACAATACAATACAACAAATATCCGGAATGCAATGGACAGAAAGTAAATACAATACGCTGAAAGAGACTATACTAGCTGCGGGTCGCCTCGAGAAATGCAGCTCACCTAGTCTCCGTATCATCCACGCTGCTACGCCCAGTAGGCCACTAGAAGTACATGTGCCTGTGCAATGAAAATGCACAGCAAGTGTAGCATGAGTACGAAAACAACGTGTACTCAGCAAGTATCCCGTCTAATCTCGAAGAAGTAGAGACGAGAGGTCGACTTCGACATTTGCTAGTAGTCCAATAATAATATGGTGAAGATGTGAGGAAAACATGGACTTATCTAGCAATTATAACTCATAAAGCCAGAAAGCAGGTAACACCTTCTCAATTAACAAGAAAATTTCCAAGATTTACTTTTCATTATCTTTATCAATTTATATAGGGCCATGAAAGGCAATATCAACTTCAATAAGTTTCAAGGTAAACAATACAAGCATGCGCATATCATGCCGAGGTCGTACGGCCCGCTCCAACAGAAAGTAAACTGTACACTGCCGAGGGTCGAACGACGCGAACTATAGATGCATCTATTTAATCTGCCGAGACGTTCGGCCCGCTCCAAAAATAAATACACACAGACAGTCAACCAAGAAGTCCACACGGAGCAATTCTCCAAAGAAAGCCAATCCTCTTTTAACCATTTAAGAAAAATGAAGTTTAATCAGTTTAGAAATTCATTTACTAATTCAATGTGATTTAAGCAATTCAAGTTGTCAATAAGTTCACAAATAATCCAAGTATAACATGATCTTGGGTCCTAAATTACCCGGACAACAGCATAATAGTAGCTACGCACGGACCCTCGTCACCTCGTACGTACGTAGCCCCCACAAATAGGAGCACATAACCAATTAATTTACCTATGGGGACAATTCCCTCTTACAAGGTTAGAAAGGAGACTCACCTTGCTCCGAAGCCTATATTCCGATTCAAGAACGCGCTCAAACCTCCAATTTGGAGCCGAACGATCCAAAACTATTCAAATAGGGTAAGAACTAGTCAATACATGCTCAAAAGTTCATATCCTAATTATTAAACCAATTTTCCAATCCTAAATGCAAGGTTCCTAAAATTCCTCCCTAGGCCCACGTGCCCGGATTCCGAAAATCTTTGAAGACAATTGTTACCCACAACCTAAGGATCAAGGATATATGATTTTTACTCTATTCCCTAACAAATTTTGTGGTTAAATCTTGTTTTTACCAAATTCTAGGTTTTTCATCTAAAATCCTCGATTTTCCTTAATTTTCACATGTTAAATCTACGCATAATCTATGTATTTAACTTATGATGTGTAGAAATTACTTACCACTTTGATGATGATGGAATCCCTCCTCAAATGCTCTCAAAAATCGCCTAAGGCCAAGTGGGAAATGAGGGAAATGGGCTAAGTTTCGGAATAAAAAGCCACAGCTCCAGACACAGAAGTCGCATTTGCGACTCCAGGCTCGCAATTGCGATGTCGCATTTGCGACAAAAGCACCGCAAATGCGAAGCCCGACTTTCCCTGACATGGTCGAATTTGCGACAGAATTCCTCGCAAATGCGAAGAGGACAGCATCGCAAAAGCGATGGCCCCCTCGCAAATGCGATTCCCCACTCGGCAGCCCCAGGTTCGCAAATGCGAAAAGGAACTCGCAAATGCGAGGTCGCATTTGCGACCAACACATCGCAATTGCGATCATACCAGTACCAGCAACCCTATTTCTTAGCAAATCACTCCGAAGCTATCCCGAATCACACCCGAGCAACCGGGGCTCCAAACCAAACACCTGCACAAGTCTAAAAACATAATACGGACTCGCCCGAAGCCTCAAATCACATCAAACAACGCTAAAATCACGAATCACACTCCATTTCAAATTTGACGAACTTAGAATTTTAAACTTCTACATTCGATGCCGAAACCCGTCAAATCACGTCCGATTGACCTCAAACTTTACACACAAGTCATATTTGGCATTACGGACCTACTCCAACTTCCAGAATCGGATCGGATTCGGACCCTGATATCAAAAAGTCCACTTCCGGTCAAACTTCTCAAAAACCTTTAAATTTCTATCTTTAGCCAAATGACTCCAAAATGACCTACGGACCTTCGAATTCACTTCCGATCGTGCTCCCAACTCCAGAATCACCATACGGAGCTACTCCTAGCCTCGGAACCCCGAACGGACATCGATAAAACTGAAATGCACTTCAAGCCAAACTTATAAAATTTCTTCCAAAATGCTAACTTCCACAATAGGCGCCAAAACGCTCCCGGGTCACCCAAAACCTGATCCGGGCATACGCCCAAGTCCGAAATCATCATACGAACCTGCTGGAACTTTCAGATTTCGAATCTGAGGTCGTTTACTCAAAAATTCAATCCTAGTTAATTCTTTTAACTTTAAGCTTCTGAAATGAGAATTCTCTTTCCAAATCAACTCTGAACTTCCCGAAATTCAATTCCGACCACGCGTACAAGCCATAATACCTGAAATGAAGCCGTTCATGGCCTCAGACTGCTGAATGACGCGCTAGAGCTCAAAACGACCGGTCGGGTCGTTATAGTTTTCTCAATGGTCAACTTTATATTGTACTTTCAAGAGGGATATCAATGTTAACAACAAGAGTCTTGGTCATGATAGAGCAATTAAAACTTATGAAAGAAATATACACCAGGAATATCATTCATAAGGAATTATAAGTGAGATACACCATATGTTTGTACCTTACAAAATCAAATAAAGTAAAAAGAATCACATGAATAGCTAATTAAACTTTGATTATTCATCTTCATAGGTTTAGAGGACATCCAATCATCTTGAACTCGAGAAAAAAGTCACCATATTATGATCTACATTGAATATTCACATAAACAAATACACTATTAAATTCTTTCACGTAACTTCATTTTTTTAATATTGATATTATTTATAAAGCTGTGTATTGTATAACTTGACATACACGTGCAACGCGTGTCGAGAAACTAGTTAAGTTTAAAAGAAACTAATGAAACTCAAAGTTGATTGAGAAATGATAGAACTTTGTTAAAATATGTGCTACCTGGAGAGCACGAGAACGATCCAAAATAAGCCATATTATACAAAGCAAAATCCAGCAACAGCCTAAATCCTCACACATTAAGGAAAAAAGAGAAATTGATCTTAAATTATAAATTATACCTTCTCAAAGTTGGTGCAATTTAGCGAGATGAACCGCATGTGTTAGAGTGACAAATATCTCTTAAAAGGTTAGTGTTATTTTGTTTCCTAAAAGAATTAAAACTTGTGAGTGAGGAACAACTCTAATCTCACTGTAATTTCTACTGATATATGTATATATAAAATTTACCCGTATTTGATATTTATACTATACTAATAGATGCATGATATATGTTTACTAATAGAGTACTATTATCGCTTAAACATAGTTAACCAAATATCACTTAAACATAGTTAACCAAAATATTATTCTGCGCCTATTAGGCCACTTTACCATAGTAAGATGACATGGTTTAATATAAATACAAAACATCAAATTCAGAAGTAAAATATATTTAGAAATCAATATCTGTTCTTTTTTACCAAAATATACGATAAATATAGTAGATTTACCCCTTTAAAAGGAAATTGAATTTGTGTATGACCTCCTCAAAGCAGAATGTGAATGGGTAATATTATAAAAAAGAAAAAAAGTAGGAATATCCAACTTAATTAAAGAGTAAAGATAAACCAAAGAAGATAGATATGACATTATTCCAACGGTAGGAATTTGAAATTTTTCTTATTTGGCCTAAAAAGAACGTCGACTATATTTTTCACTATTAGTTTGATCTCATTAATTAATTAAATAGATTGCATGATATAAACAGTCAAATTTTAATACTCATGATTAATTCTCATGTATTTGCAATATTTTTTCTGTTTGTCTACACCTTGTAAGTGGATTCAAATTGGGAATGTAGTTCAAATTGAAAAGGGAAAGGAGACTATGAATATTGCTTGTTGTTATATCATAAAACTAATAGGAGTAAGGTGCACTTTTTTAGATGGTTTTTTACGCCTTAAAATTAACAGGAGTAACTTTTGCTCGTTTGTTATGTTCTAAAACTAATAGGAGTAAGGTGCAGGTCTTTTGCTCTTTGTTGCAGTTCAAGCATTAATAGGATTAATTTAATAATAGTAGTAAATATGGCCTAACATATATGTCCTAAAAATAATAGGAGTAAGGTGTAGTATTTCGTTTATCCTTTATGGGTTATTAACTTATTATATTCAATAATTTAAAGCTATTTTGGTCTATTCGTATTGTATTTATGCTTTTTATCTTGTATTTGTTATTAGGCTTAATATCCTCGGACAATCTCTACAACTACAAGTGTGAGCGTTTTCTAACGCTCAACTAAGCCCTCATCTATATGTTTTGCGGTGGCAAAGTAAATTATTGAATTTGCTATAACATACTCTAATACATTAATATTGTCAAAAATATTATTGTGATCAATCAACACATAAAAAATCAGTTTATTAGAACATTACCAAATCCAAAATATAAGTTAAAACAATCTACATTTTTATCAACATGGAATATATCTTCAAAAGGTAAAAAGTCGAAATACTTTACTTTAGAAGGTTGTTTTCTATTGGGCTTGTTTTGATATTTTTTACAACCGGACACTAAAAGTAAAAACAACCAAAGAAGATGGATTTGACATTATTCCTAAGTAGAAATCTGAAGTTGTCTTGATTAGATTCAGAAGAACATCAATGATATTTTTAACTATCAACTTGGCATCAAAAGATATTGTATGATACGAACAGTTGAATTTCAAAACTACTCATGAGTACCATGAAATTTTAAAACTATTCATGTTTGTCCGTCTGAGATAGAGATATATTTTTGAAAAATTACTTGAAATTGGTATTCTTCAAGCAAGATTTTATAGGTCGATCGAGCAAGAAATTTACAGAAAAAAAGTTATAGGTCGACCGTCTGCAACACTACAAAGCAATAAAAAAAATTTATTGTCAAAAATCAATTAGAACTTTACTAAATCAAACCAGCATTACAAGGAGAAACATAAAACGAAACCCAATATCCCAATTAAAGAGATAAAACAAGGCAAGTTATATACAATTTGATCATATATATACATGTATATAGATAAGCATGCTATGCATATCTTTTTCCAGGATAAAAAGGAAAAAGAAAAAAGAAAAATTAAAAATTAAAAAAGAAAGATATCAGTCGGAATGCTAACCTGTTCCCCGCGGCATATGCCAATTAAAGTTTTATATATACAATCACAAGTTAATGTAAGAGGCGGTTTAATGTGTTGTTATCCATATAGAATTAGAACATGTATTATTTCCATTTGTATCCTTTCCTAGAGAGTTTTTTGACAATAACTTTTAAGGATATTTTTGTAAACCGATATTGGATTCATGCTTTTATAATAATTAGTGTTTATGTTTGTGCGATGCACGAATTATTTTGTATCAAATATTATAAAACACACTCCAAAGGTGATAAACTATCAATTGTGCAGATACCCTATAACTAATTGTTAGTGAATATATACTGAGTTCAATAATCAGTTGCTTCAAACAAAACAAAAATAGAAAAATATCATATATAATCCAAGTATTATACCTTCAAAATGCTTGCGGCAATAATCATGGGCTTTTGACTACTAAGTTGATTTCCGTAGATTTTGCATTAAATATTTTTCTCTCTTCGTTTTGAATTAATTTGCAAATAGACTGGATTAAAATAAGACCAATTTTAGAGTCTCTTGATATTTTGAGTTGGAAGACCTCTAGTGTTATGGCTTTGGAGACAGTTTTAGATCAATTCATAAGAAGTGGATAAAATTAAAATAAAATTCAACTTTTTTTGATGTAGAAGCTATTATGAAGCTTTTTAAGTACCAACTATGTGTTGTAGCCACATCGTGAAAAATTTGACGGATAATTTACTCATATTTGTGATAATTGAAACCAAAGGGTAACACACAAGTAAATATATTTTTTCTGTTAATTGAAAAAACAGAGCAAAATAAGTACATCCAAGGGCACTGATTAAAACATCATATAAGAGCACCAAGATGTGAAAATAAGTAAATCATACACCAAAAATAAGTATCAGGCTTTTGCCTCCTATTTTTCCCTTTAATAATAAACTATAAATTAATCCATTCCTATTTAAATTAAGTCTCTTTTAGCAAATTTACAGTCGAACTCAAAGTCCTACAATTAGGCAAAGTCTAATATTACAATTCTTTTCCAAAGTAGAATTAATATATTTTAAGGAAATAAATTTCTTTTTCAAGTATTTGATGTATAATGTTTGAACAGCCGAAAGCAATTGGAATTAGAATTTCAGTCAAAGTCATTCAAATGGCCATTGTTATTGCCCAAGTGAATTCGTGTGATGTTAGAATTTCACATTATGTTACAGCTTTAAATTTTCTAGAATTAGTTAGTTTCAAACTCCTATATTTTAGACACCTAAAGTTACAATTTTATCCAATATTCTGTTATTTTCTTGAAGAAATAATTTATACAATTTTAAGCAAACATATTGCTTACAATCAGACAAGCGAGGCAAAAAATTAGAGCTCTCTTCAATCATCCTCTATATGTATTATACTCCACTAATATTCCTCCTGGTGCCACCAATTCAATCCCTGCATATTCATTTTTACCTTCACCTCTATCAGTTTCTTCTTCTAATGTTTTGTCAACTTCTAGAACAATTGAATTACAACCCAAAGATGTTGTTTTATCCTTTAAGGAGTGGTTCATGAGCAGAAAAAACCCAGTTTTCGATCGGATCTTTGAGATATTGAAGACTCAAGATGATATTACAGCTGATATATCACTGTCTCGATTTAAACTTAGACTCTCCGAGGCTTTGGTTCTTCACGTGTTAAATTACGAGAAAAACAAGGATGTTTTATCCTGTTTGAAGTTCTTTGATTGGGCGGGTCGACAGCCGGGTTTTTATCATACCCGGGTGACGTTTAATGCCATTTTTAAGATTTTGTCGAAGGCAAAGTTGATGTCTTTGATGGTTGAGTTTTTGGATAAGTATATGAAGCAAAGGTATTTTCATAAAGCGAGATTTTACAACACTTTGGTTATTGGGTATGCCGTGGCTGGCAAGCCTGAGCTTGCACTCCAACTGTTCGGTAGAATGTGTTTTCAGGGTGTTGATTTGGATGCGTTTGCTTATCATGTGTTGCTTAATGCATTGGTGGAGGATGGTTTTTATGATGCGTTTGAGATGGTTTTGAAGCAGATTAAGTTTAGGGGTTTTGAGGATTCCATAACACATGCTATATTCGTTAAGAGTCTTTGCCAGCAAACGGAGCTGGATCGAGCTGAGGAGTATCTTAGAGGGTTCTTGAGAAATGGAGGGGTAGGGTTGAGTGGCATTGTGGTGGCTAATCTTGTGAATGCTTTGTGTAAAAGTAAGCAGTTTATGACAGCCGCAAGTTTGGTGCACGATTTTACAGAGTCTCGTTTGGTTCCGGGAACAGGCATATAGTGTGTGGATTAAGGACCTTGCTCAGGCCGGGGAGCTAAGTGAGGCAGTAGAATTTCTGAAAGGCAAGAAACTATTTGATGGGTATGTTCCTGAAGTATTTCGCTATAACAGCTTAGTGTGTCGGCTTTTAAGAGAGAACAGGTTAGAGCAGGTTTATGACTTGTTGATGGACATGAAGGTTCAAGATATAGTACCTGACGATGTCACCATGAATGTAACTTTGTGCTTCTTCTGCAAGGTGGGGATGGCTGATGTTGCCTTGGAGTTGTATGATTCGAGAGCTGAATTTGGATTCTCTGTAAGTAGTATGACCTATAACTATCTGATAAATACTCTATTAGGCGATGCAAGCGTTGATGAAGCGTATTTCGTGCTGAAGAATGCCATTGAACAAGGTTATTTCCCTGGTAGGAGGACATTTTCTATTATTGCTGATGCTCTTTGCAGAAAGGGGAAGCTCGATAGAGTGAAAGAGTTGGTTCTTGCTGCTCTAGACCGGAACTGCATGCCCAGTGACTCGACCTACAACAAGTTCATATCAGCCTTATGTAGGGCCAGCAGGGTGGAAGATGGATACTTGGTACATGGAGAGCTCAGCAGATTGGATAGGGTTACTAACAGGAATACTTATTTTCACTTGAGATATTGCAGCAAGATTGTTAATAGAAATGCAAGAAAAAGGTCATAGTCCAGACCGGAGATTGTACAGGGCGGTTATTTGTTGTTTATGTCAGATGGAGGATCCAGAGAAGCTATTTTACAGTTTATTAGAGGTTCAATTGTCTCGGCATGAACCTAGCTGCCTCATTTATAATTACTTCATCGATGGAGCTGGTCATGCCGGAGAGGCTGAGCTGGCCAGAGATGTTTATGAGATGATGAAGAGAAATGGTATCACACCGAATTTGCAGTCTGACATTTTGGTATTGCAAAGTTACTTGAAAGCTGGAAAAATTGCTGATGCTTTAAACTACTTTCGTGACTTGTCCAATAGAAGAAGTCTAGGAAGAAAATTATGGAACACCATGATTGTTGGGCTTTGTAAAGCTAACAAGCCCGAAAATGCGTGGAATATGTTATGGGAGATGAGATCAACTGTTTTGCGGCCAAGTATGGAATGTTATGAGGAACTTGTTAAATTGCTTTGCTCGCAAAGAGATTATTATAAGGCTATTCTTCTGGTGGAAGACTTAATGCAAGTTGGTCGTCGGATGTCATCCTTCATTGGCAATGTACTTTTGTTACACTCTTTACAAACTCCAAGAGTCTTCAGTGCATGGATGCACTCAAGAGATTTACGCAATATGAAGGATTACAGCTTAGCACTAGGGGAGTTGATAAAGACTTTCTCTGGTGGTAGTAATTTGGACGGAGATATTTTGGAAATGGAAGAACTGATTCGACAATGCTTTCCACTTGACGTATACACTTACAATTTGTTGTTGAGAAAACTAACCATAAGTGAAATGGACCTTGCTTGCAAGTATTTCGACAGATTATGCAAGAAAGGATATGAGCCAAATCGATGGACTTATGATACATTAGTTCACGGCTTCTTAAAAGTTGGTCGATCTTCTGAGGCTAGAAAGTGGATGGAAGAAATGTTCAGTAAAGGTTTTGATCTGACTGAGGCTACAAAGACATTTGTCTAAACTCACTTTGAATTTCATTCTAGATGGAACTAGATGGAATGGGGTCCCTCATTCAGGTATTGAAATGCAAGATTGTTTGATATTTTACTTTGTTGTATTCCTCTTGTAAGGAGAGAAAACATCAACTTCTTTTAGCTTTATCCACACCCCTTGCACTAAGCTCCTGGTCACATGGCAACAACTTTACCAGTTACGCCAAAGCTCCCCTTCAAAAGATATAGTAAAAGAATTCTGGCTGTTTTACTATATTTAAAAACCCAACTCTTATGACTAAAAGACAATAGAAGTAATCTAGGATCTTAAGTTAAGTGGGAGAATATAATTGCAACTCCGGGAGAAAACCATGAGCAATGACCGGGAAAGTTTTTTAACTTCACCTTGTATCTCTCTGGTATGGAAGTGTCACCTATAAAAGCAAAATTTGATCTCTTATGAAGCCTTAGGGGAATTCCTCTCACATTGTAAACTTTGCTCACTTCCTATATTATTAGCGCGCTTCGCCTTGCCTCTGGAGCTCTTTTCTTTAGAAATTTTTTCATGGGAGCTCGCCCCTAACCCTTGTTTAGCTTATGGTCTTTCAACTGCCTTTAGAACTGTTGCTAGGGCCACTGGAGTTTCTGTGTTTTCATTCATATTCAATATTCAACTACTGAAGGGAAGAAGCAGCGCTCACATTGTCCTTTTCTTTCGTGTACTCTAAAAATCTGACTTTGAAATTCTGCATTTTAGGTTGGTTTGCTTGGATGCGATTACTGATGTGGCTGTCTGGAAGTAAGTTGGTGGCACATGAAACCTAAATGGAAATATTAGTGCATTTGAAGATGGAGTACTCATGGTTGTGGGCCGGAAGAATTTTCTGGATTCAACTCATGAGCAGTGAAGTGGCCATATAAGAGATGTCATGTCCTGTGCTCCGAATGAATCCGAAAGGTTGAGAAGTGGTATCGGGACCATGGAGAAAAGCCTCAACGATTGTGATAGCCAACCGATTAACAAGCTTACCTGCTTCAGGTTTGAAACCACTTGATTTGAAATGGTTATAGGAATACTTTTAGCAGTTTGTAGATTTTGGGCTTATTTTCATCTTGTTGAATTCTGGGTTGTAAATGAGCTGTTCTAATATCTTTGGCATGTTGTGGCATCTAGCTGGAACTCTGACTATTCTAGTTTGTTTTTTTTTTTTTTTCCTAAAACTAAATTTCATGGAAAACTTTGGTGCACCAACAAAGTAATTTACTAGTATATAAACTGTTGATCATGTCCTTCTGAATGCATCTATTTCCAAAATATATATGGGTATTGTTGTTATCTCCGGCTTAGATTTTCGATTTCTACTAGATTTTGAAGAGTTTGGATTGAAATAATAAACATTCCCCGTGTCCCCCAATTTGTATTAGACACAAAGATTAAGAAAGAAAGGAAGACTTTCACACTTAGATATAAATAAAATACCAAAGGTACTGTAATACCAAATAATTCATCTTAGTAGGGGCACCGGGGCCTACAACAAGCATGTCAATCACTAAATGGGAATAAAAGTTAATTGGTTTCTAATTATAGAGAGATGCCAATCTTTGGGAGGGAAAAGGAAATAGTGTTAAACAAATTGGGAGATGGATTAATAATAATGATAATAGTCATTACAATTATTTATTGTTTTGGTTCCTAACGGAGGGAAAAATACTAGGTGATTTCTTCTCATCTATCCAAGCCCTGGTGGACGGAGTACCCGGTACCTATGCTGGTGGGAGGTAACATGTACCGCGTGTATTTAGTCAAGGTGCGCGCAAGCTGGCCCCAACACCACGGTTATCAAAAAAATTCTTTATTGTTTTGATGAAGTATATGTTTAAGAATTTAACAAGTGATTATGCATCATATTTTCATTTATTTCTATCATCATCACCTTTATTATTTTTAGGGGTTCTGCATAAGTGCATTAAGAGCATTTGAGTGTGATAGGTGTTGTTCATGCATTACGATTGTGGTTGTCTCCTCCCGTCTTCAAGCAGTGATGTCTGCTTTCACCTGCTTAGCAGTTTATATCATTACGATACCAACTTCACCTCTACAGGTTAACAATGCATGATAACCATTGGGGCTCAGTTCTAGCAATAAAGGTCTTTAGTCAGTGGGTGGATCACAAAACTGATCCTGTTCTTTTGCTGTTTCTGATGCAAAATAGAGTTTCTCAGACATGTGTGGTCGGCCTTTTGCCCTATCAAGATAATACTTCCCTGCATGAGATGGTCCAAAAGTTAGTGAAGTCCTTGAGGAGAACTGATATAGTTTTTCACTGTAAATTGCTCGACAGTTCTTGCTAGCTTGTACTTTCGTTAGCTTGTAGCCTTGTACGATGCTTAGCAGGAGTTTGCCAGGTGCCATCTTATGCAGCTATTTTTCTAGATGGTTATCTAGCATATACGGAAATTGTCAGGCCCCATAAAACATATTGGGTAAAAGCTTAATATTCTGTTATATATTGTTGCTGAGTTCTTTAAATGGTTCGTTTATCATGATAGCTGCTTGTGCAGAGGTATAGCAGTTGCTTATGTAGTGATTGATTGATTCATGATAGTATTTCCTGTAGAATGTTAAGCGCTGATTGAAGCAAACGCAGATGCTCATATTTTAGTTTATTGGTTCCCTCGGTACAAAACTAGAGGGGCTGTGAATGATGTGGAGTAGAGTCCTTTTATATAATTTGAACTTTGAGGGTAATTGCTATTCTCAAGACATTTTAAGGAGTTCCTTTTTTGAGACATTCTTGGCTTTTATTTAGCAGATACAGTTCATCTGTGGAAGAAATTGAGACCGTGAACCACTTGTTTATTCATTGCAGATTTGCATGGCAGATATGGATCATTTCCTGAGGTTATTATATGGAATACAGTGGGTGATGCCTGGAGATCTGAAAGTGATACTGCAGTGCTGGCAAGGGCAGACAGTGGAAAAGAGACGAAGAAAAGATTAAAAGATCATACCTTTATGCATATTATTTGACTGTGGGTGATAGAATTTTTTGAAGGAAAAAAAGAGGAATATTTCTTATGTATAATCTAAAATGCATTCAAACAATGTCGGTGTAAGAGAAATATTGAAGATAGCTTAGATAGAATCCTAGAATTTTTTCACTCCTTTCAGTCATAGGAGTCAACTAGAGACTTGTGTACTATGTCAGTACCTCCCTGTCTTTTTGTATAATATATTTCTTTGTTTGTATCAATAATTGTGAATATTTACCTGGGAGAATTTTGCTGCCTCAGTTCCTGTGATTACTTATTGATGTAAGGATCATATGCTAGTTCTTTGATCAAATTTGGACATTATATCTGATAACTATAAAAAAAATCTTTCCCATGGAGGGAAGAATGTTTCTAATCTAAAGATGGAGTTTGAATTTGAAAAAAGATTATTATTGCAACACATGCTGCCTGAAAACTTTAGGCAGCATTTGATTCAATCCATACACATACTATTAGGCAGAATTTGATTTTCTGTCCTAATATTTTTTTTATTTTTTATTTTATTTTATTTCCCTCCACTTTTGATTCTCCTTTGATCCCCTTCTTTTTGGTGACTCGAACCCATGACCCTGGGGTTGTAGATGAGGAGTGCTGACCCTCTTGTCCTGTGTCCTATTCAATTGCCATTGAAACTAGCTACTCTGCATTGCCAGAAAAAGGGCGGGGGAGAGAATTGAAATTCATCTAGCTATAACAAAAATGAGACAATTCACAAGAAGACTTATTGATATTAATATAACCAAGTGTAAATATTTAAGCATCACTCGTGTAGTTTTTCATCTTTCCAAGTACACACTCACTTATGTCTCATTTTGAATTCACCGTACATGTCAAGGGTCAAGTCTCTCCTGTATCCCAACCCCACAAAGAATCTAGTCTCTAACAAATGGCAGTTTTATATTACCAATCTACAAATTCTAAGAATAATGTATAAGTCATGTACTCCTAAAACATGGTGGATAAGCAAATGCAACTGCACGTTCAGCATTTCCCATGAATCAGAGCTGAATCCAATCTGTGAAGCTCCAATAGGCAATCCACCAGACATTGTTCTATTCATGTAGTATTTTGCGCCAATTGGCGACCCTGATTGCTCAGATGGGCGAGAACAATGTTCTAGCAGTGTCCCTTGCCTGTCTTGCAATATTAAAGTTGAGCAAAAAGAATTTCATTCCATGTATCAGGAACACCAGGCAAGCACCAATGCTAGCAATCCTGCATCCCAGGTGTTGCTTTGATGCTGTATCGAGATATATACAGCTGTGATATCCAAAAGCTTTACAGCTGTTCCTTTTACTGCCCTTGCTGCAGTAGAATCACTGGATTCATCTTGTAGAACATCAGGTCTGTCTGCACCACCAGTAATCATACACATAAGTGACTGAAATTGCTGTCTAGCGAGGGAATCCCCAATAAAAGCCAGAGTTTTGTTTTCCATCCTGGATGCACAACCAAGTTCAGAAAATTCCTTGTATGTAAAGCAAATTAAATATCACCTGAAGAATTGAAGAAGGGAGAAAGCAACGCCATATTCTATGCAACAAAAAAACTTGGACACTGAAAAATAGTGCGAACAGAATCATCTCGAGAGAGAGATAGCATGCACTACATAGGGGAGCTTCACAGTCACAAATTCTTGCAGTTAATGTGAGATACATGTTCTAATGTCTTGGGTTTACTCAAGCTTACACTTCTGCCCTTGGAAAATACATTACAAGCCATGACAGAGTACTTTTAATGCCAGACAGAACAAGAGAGAAGGTTTTAATAGAATTCATTTAAGGTTATACACATCCCAGGCATCAGAAAGTAATCAATTGCAGAAAAAGGAAAGCATACCTTTTCAGGAAGTTAGCACCTGTAAACTCTTTCTCTTGGCCTCCAACGTAGTTTCTCGTATTCAAAATCCATACGCTGTGTCAAGCGGCATGCCCACATGGATGACAACCATTGCTTGCAGCCAAATCCAGAATATAGAGGCCTACTATCATCTGTGACCCATCTACCTTTACAACCTGGAAGTTAAGATAAGGGTATTAGTAACCAATTTCGTACTAACCATTGTACCAATTCACCAACCAATTTAAGGATAGGTCGATTGGCAAACAAGGCCTTTTTTAAGATTATCCAGAACCCAAGAAAGGTTGAAAAAAAAGAAAGAAATTAGGAATTAGTTCAATGACAATGTAATCAAATCCATCAGGCTGTGACTTCCGTGAACATTAGAAGTTTGTTTTACAAACCTAGATAAATTCTACAGCTAAATGACATCAACGAGAAAGGAAACAGAAAACTAAAAAAGAAAGATGATCACCATGATCTTTTGTGTCAGATGTCAAATTTTTTACAGGGCTGTCTGCAGAATTCACTGGACCAGCAACTTCATTTTCTTGTTTTCTTGAACTACCTTTTTCTTCCAAAGCTCCTTTTAAATCTCCTTTTTGGGGAAAGCTGGGAGGAATACCCGCACTTCCTGACCTGAAAAACACCATTAAACCATCAAGCTGTAGAGACTAGAGATTGCTTGACCTCAATAACATCTCAGGATACAAAGATATTATAAAACATGAATAGGTACCAGCGGAAGTAGTTCTTTAATGCGGAGAAACTGACACTTCGGCAAATATAAATCAAGTTGAGGAGTTGAAGCAACAGATTCCGTACAAAGTTGAGGAGTTGAAGGACAGAAAACAGAGACATTGATGTATGAAGCAGAGAAAGAAAGGGACTTTACTATAGCACTAATTTTTCAATTTGAGGCACTCAGAAAAGATGAAAGATTGTATTCAAACATACCATACCTTCTATCTCAGTATTAGTAATCAGTTCTTCAGTCACCTTATCCTTTGTCGAAGACCCCTTAGTAGATGAATTTGAAATGGTAGGTTCAAAGTTCACGCTTTCTTCTGATTTCCCTAATCTATTTCGTTCTCTTAAAACTTCTTCATCTTTCACTTTATAATCTGCAAGAGAACAGAGAATAGATAAGTAACTTAACAGAATTCAGCAACGTCTCCACCAAGTTCTATTTACTCTGTCATAATAATGCTGTCCTTTTTGGTTTGTCCCAAAACAGCTACTCGTATTAAAGAGGAAAGTTTCCCCCTCAACATTTATAACTGGTGCCAAATACATATTGTTTCAAACTTAACGTGACAGCTTACCAACTAACATTTCAACTTTTTCTATTTGAAACATTACGTTAAACACTTCCAAACACATCCCACCAATGTAGGCCTCTTGTTCCTTATTCCTTGACTCCTCAAGTGGCTCGGATGGCTTTATTTTTGTATCATCATCCAAACACAATGTGAAAAAAAGTGCTTGGAGTGTGGACCAATGCGCTCAACTACATGAACATTGGGACTATCTACATCCTCAACACTAATGACACTAGAGTCAACTAAATATGTATCATCAATGTCCTTGGTTGACTCTAGTATCTCTTCAACAACATCGACATCCTCAAAATCTAGTTCGATTGATTGTTGGTGTTCTACTCTAGCCTTCTCCACTAGCACCTCAATTTCTGTATCTAATTCACACTCTTCTTGGATACTGTTCACAATATTGGCTTTTTGAGCATTAAAATCTTCAACCAGTTGACTCATTTGAACTTTCAAGTTGTGAATAGTTTCCTCTTGCCTTTCTATCTGCAGCTGTATTTTACTATTTTGTTCCACAAGGCACTTTAACATATCCTTGATCTCTTTCAGGTCATCATCCATGGGTTCTTTGTTCCTATTAACTTCACAAGAAAAAGAGGAACCGTCAAAGTAGGGGGTTGGGGAAAGGTAAGAAATATAAGCACAACCATGGAAGTGACCATCTTGGCCACCACACATATCACACATATTCCATACATAAGATTGAGTTGGTGCACATAACTCGCTCTTGGGAATATTTTGGCAGTTTTGCCATGGGTGGTTTCCTCCACAATTAGCATTTGGAAGATCAATAGTAGAATTACCTGTCACACCCCCTTTTCCCCCTTTTTGACAGGGAAGTCCGGGTTTCGACATTCATGGGGAACAACTCGTTTCCTTTTGGGAATTGGGTATTTAAAGAGTCGCCACCTAATGAATTATGGTGTGTTAGGGCACCTAGAATAATTAACTCGTGTAACTAGTTTGCATTACCAGAGATTAGGGTAAGGGCTCAAAATAACCTTAAGGGGAAGGTGTTAGGCACCCCTCGCGGTCCACAATGGTGGGTCCCGGCCGAACTTAAACTATGTGAATTAGTCATTTTAACAAGTAAACAGTTTCAACACATATTTACAAATAAAGGTATGTTTTCACATTCTAAGTACATGTACGATTCAGGTAATGGGAGCAAGAGAGAGGTTTGAACAACTTGCATATGTATATGTAAAGAAAAGAAAGTTAAAATTTAAACACATATGGAATTGGGAAAGGGAAGTCCTAGGTTGATTAACCTACAGATCATACAATGCCCGGTAATCACTCCTCAATGAGGGGCTACACATGACATTAGCGCGCAGTCATCATATCCTTTTACTACCCATTACCCTCCCCTTAGTGGTTATATAAGCGAGTTTAATTTAACGACCTCTAAGCGTGCTGCTACCCGTCCCTTCCTTATGGTCCTGCAGGAATTTGGGACTACTAAATATGGACAGTTCTAGACAATCTAAGGTCTTTAAAAGGTAAAAATCTAGGTGACACGCAAATAACATATAGGACAAGCAAATAAGGACAGGCAGTTAGAAGGCTCACATTTACCTCCGCATGTATATAGGCAAACAAACAGCACGTCTAAAACACAATTTTTTTTGAAGAAAGTTTAGAAATCCTAAGAACATGATATCTAGTTGAACATCACAAAATAGAACATGCAGCATTTGTTTTTTAGGGAAGTGGCAGGATCCTAACCAGTTTACCTACTGGTTTTACAGCTTGGTAAACCTGGATAATTTCACATATAAACAGAACTGGTTTCACAATTATTTAACGCCCTAAAGCTTGCCTAAGTGCATATATGCAGTCACAATTCTAGGAAGCATTTTGAAGTTCTTTATCTTATAGGCATGCTTTCTAGTGATATTAATTAACACAGCGTTGAGGACTATTAAAGAAACGAGTAGGATAATTGATTAATTGATTCAGAACCTATAGGCATGATTTCTAATTATAGCTGATTTTAGATCCTATAGGCATAATGTCTAATTAATAGCTGATTTTAGATCCTATAGGCATGATTTCTATGCTCAAAGCTGATTTTAAATCCTACAGACATGATGTTTAATTATATATAAAGTGAAGCAGGCAGAATATATTTGTCCAAAGCGAAACTCTATAGGCATATTATCTAACAAAACACACTTGAACCAAATGAACCCTATAAGCATGTTATCTAACAAAATACATTTGAACAAAAATGAACCCTATAGGCATGTTATCTAACCATCTTTACCCACAGTATACAACTACCCTCCCTTTTCACTAGTCACCCCAATATTCGTTTACAATTAATTATTACAGATCAAGGATTGAATAAAAATTACATAAATAGAATAGAAATTAAGCTATAGGGAGCCTGAAGTAGGCCCAAAGAAAATCCTGGTGTACCAAGCCTTCACTAGTCTCAAATGCCCAAGATTTTATAGCCCAATTCATGTACAGGTATGTCAGAGTTCCCTAAAGACCTCAAGGATCCCGGGCAGTGCTCACACCCAGACTTTCCTCAAATAAAGACTGATTATATGCAGTGTGGAAGTGCCAGCCCCGATATGCCAGAGTTCAAAGAGATCTCATGGACCTCTGAGCAGTACACATACTGGAGAGGTAGAGCTTAATGACCTAAGAATGAGTGAGAGTGCTTGACATGATTTGAAAGAGTTTTGGTAAATAGTATAAAGAAGGGCCTTAGGAGTGAAGAGATTTTTTGAAACCAGTACTAGTTAGGGTGGTAAGATAGTTTGAGAAAAGCATGAAAAATATTTTTTGAAATCAAAATGCAGGTCACAAAAACAAACAGCTTTCAGGAACATTTTGGGGCAAATAGATTCCACACATAAAGAGAGGGGTTGGGGACACATAGAATACACCCTAGTGTATAAGCAAACATATGCACAAACTTCTCAAGAAATTGTAAGTTAATTACAAAGATTACAACAAAGACATGTTGAAAACACATAGATCTTGGACACACAATCAGAGTACTTTGTAGGGCTAGGTGACTGCCATAGAACCTTGCTGAAGGCGCTCAAACTGCCTTCGATAGTCCTCTCTCTGAGTAATAGGAAGATACTTCTCAAAATATAGCTGAGAGAACTGGTCCCAAGTAAGAGCTGATGACCCAGATGGTATGGCCAAACAAAAATCCCTCAACCATTTCCTAGCGGAACCTGGCAAACGAAAAGTAGCAAAGTCGACCCCATTGGTCTCCACTATTCCCATATTGTGTAATACCTCGTGACAACTGTACAGATAATCCTGGGATCCTCTGAAGATGTACCGCCATAGGTAGTAGTGAAAAGCTTGGTAAACCTATCCAATCTCCGCCTCCGAAGACATAGCCATCCATCGCCGGTCTGTGCTGCAACACCCGGCAGAACTACCCCAATGGGCTGAGCTGCTAGAGTTTAAAGTGAGGAGCCATCTGCTCCGGAGTGTGGGTGGCGGGAGTCTAGGCTCCTCCCCCAGCCTGAGAGACGGCTGGTGGTACAGGAAATGTGCCGGCCTAAGCAACACTCTCCATAAGGCCCACTAGACGGACCAAGGCATCTTGAAGTACCGAGGTAGCGATGAACCTCTCTGGAACCTGAGCTGTCCCTGCTGGAACGGTCTGGGCTGGAGCCTCCTCATTAAACTCTACCTGAGGCTCCGCCGCTGGTGCTGCTGCTCGAGCTCTAGGCTGAGCCCTGCCCCTGCCTTGGCCTCTAGCACGACCTCAGCCTCGTCCTCTTCCCCTCGTAGGGGCTGCCACTGGGGACTCCGACTGCTGCTCAGCTGATGAAGCGGTACGTGTTCTCGCCATCTATGAAAGAACAAGAGTAGAGAGTTCAATTAGCATTGAGAGATCAAATCGCACGACAGAGAAGAATAGAAGTAAAATAGTTCCTAAACTTTGTAGCCTCTGGGGGATAAGCACAGACGTCTCCGTACCGATCCCTTAGACTCTATCAAGCTTGTTTGTGAATTGTGAGACCTAGACAACCTAGTGCTCTGATACCAACTTGTCACAACCCGAATTTTCCACCATCGGTACAGTGATGGCACCTAATACCGCACTCGCTAGGCAAGCCAATGTTAGATTTCCATTTAACCTTTTTCCTTTACATTTCATAGATTAAAATTTAATAGACTAAATCAAGCTGAAATAAATGCAGAAGTACATAATTAATCGGTTATCTATATACCATTAACAATACCGAAACTGTTACCACCCAAAAACTGGTGTCACAATCCACGAACATACTACGAATTACTACAAATACTGGTCTGAAAGAAAAATAAATGTCTCGAAGGAAAGGAAAACAGGAATGTAGAAACATAAGAGGGGACGCCAGGGCCTGCGGACGCCAGCAGGACTACCTTGGGTCTCCGGTACGAAATATTGGCAACCGACCTCTCGATCAGCCACTACCAGCTCCAAAATCTGCATAGAAAGTGCAGAGTGTAGTATCAGTACAACCGACCCCATGTACTGGTAAGTGCCGAGACTAACTTCGACGAGGTAGTGATGAGGCTACGGCGGGGCATTTACATATAACCTGCATACAGTATATAATAAAGCGCAAAGGAAGTACGGGACAAAATGAAACAATGACTTGCAACAAAAATAAATACGGAACTCAAATATCTTATCAGTACCCAACTATAACCAATCCTTAAGTGAGTTACAAAAACTACATAATAAATTCACAACATAAGAAGAATAAATAAACAACAAACTGATGCAGCGTGTATCTTGATCCCACCATATATGCAGTAACATTATGAACATTCACCATTATTACTCCATATCAATCCACCCTTATTACTCCTATTG